TGTCTTTGTCTGATTGACGCAAAACAATATTTTAGGATTAGGGATTCACATTAAATGAGCCATGCTGTATTTTAATATAACAGGACTATGTTTCTTGGTCTTTCTGAGCAGTCCTTTGAAGCCATCATAAGAAAGCAGACCCGACTTCTGGTTTGAAGGGCTTTGGCGACAGACAGAAATCCGCGATCATGTGCGGTTTCTGTCTGGGCTCGCCGCTGGAGTGCCCCGAGACAGCTGATTTCGGGGCCAAGCCACCCCGTAGAGGTGGTGAAGAGAGGGGAGACCTCCAGCAGGGTTGAGGAGAGCCGCATCTCTCCTCCTCAGCTGGCCATTACTCCTTTTCCTGAAGGCGGTTGCAGTGGTGGTCAGAAATGGCCACCACAAAGGAGAACTTGACCGGAAAAGAATGTGCAGGAGGAAGATAAGAAGTGAAAGTTTTGGCTGACTGGGTTAAATTGTAAAAGCAACAACTAAGGTACCCTGGAATTTAAACTTACAAAATATAACATCGCTCCCAAAGAAGAGTCGGAAGCAGCGAAGGAAAGTGAAAAGAAAAAGGGTTGGCTTTTTTTTTCTTCTCTCTCCTTCCCTATATTGACAACTAAGAGACTTAAATAAGAAATCGGAAAAATCCACTTTGACATCAATAGGCAATTAAGCTGAAAATAAAACAAAATGCCAAAGGGATGATAAAGATTTCTGGACATTAAAAATTTTCTTTTCCATAAGCAGGAAGGGAGAGAAAAAGAATAAGGGCAGGATCTGGAAGAGGGAGGAGACTGCCTGGAATTAAAAAAGAATCTACAGTAAAACTTCAACAAGACTTCTAAAAGATACATTTTAACTGAAACTTTGCAACTGAATAGTAACCCCAGGAAGAGAAAGTGAAAAAAAGAGAGCAAAAAAGAAACAGCTTGCGTGTATTTGGATTATTTGGTGATCTTCGGATTCTTGGTTATTATATTTGAATGACTAAAATCAATCGGGTGGTTGTTTAAAAATTTATACAATGGCACCATTTCTGGATGAATTGAAAATGGAACTTAAATAGTACAAAGAAGATGCACAAGAAGGGAGAGGTTCTTTTGGCTTCATTTTTCAATTCTTAGAAATGGAGATTTGGAACTATGAGAAAGAACAAGAAACGACTGCAAAATAAGAAGATTGGGACAAAGAAGAAGCCATCTTTAATGAACAAGCAATTTTATGTGGGGAAGAAAAAGGAAAGGGGGGAAAGAGAATGGAGAATTTAAGACTTAAAAAAAACAACCAAGGAAAAGAAAAATAAGTATAATACTGAAAAGCAACAGAAAAGGGGAATACAGAAGAGAGAAATAGAGGTAGAGAGACAAGGGGGTAAAAAGGGGAGAGAGAAGAAGAGAGGAAAGAAGGAAAGGAAAAGAAGTTACAAAGGACCGGAGCAAGATATCGAGAAACAGGACCTATTTAGAGATAATGGGTGAAAATCTAACTGAAAAAGGGATTCTGTAAAGGTACATAAGATTGTATTGTTATATTAGTAATAGAAATAACTTTAGAAAATTGGAAACAATGTATGATTAAAATGAGGGATAAAATAGTGTAATTTAGTGAAATGTTTGTGAATAAAATAAGTGAAATAAAATAAATGAGAAAATTGAATTAGGAAGGAATGGGGACATTTTAATTAGTTAATGTTTTATAAAATATAAGTGAAGAGGGGGGGAATTAACTATGGAAAGCTTATAATTGTTCCCATAGAAGTATGATATTTAATTGAACAGTAATGTTAAAGAAGTTAAAACTTTAATGAATATTAATATTAATGATAGAATTGCATTGGAATGGAATGTTGTTTTAATTATATACATTTATAATTTTTTCTTTTTTTAAGAATACAGTGTGTATTTTAAGAATGTACCAAGCAGAATCCGAATGGAAGTTATGTATTATATTGAATGTTACAACTTTAGGGAAAAGATATAAAGGCGTCATACTCCAGTCAGTAACTACAGGAGAAATTTTGTTTAATGAGAAAAGATAATAGATAATTGAAACAGGACAGACAAAAAATATAAATACAATGATTTGAATTGAGATGAGATAATTAAAATAAAATTGAGAAAATTAAAAGAGAGGAGAAGCTATGTAGAAAATGTAAAATGGTAATAAGATATGGAATAGAATATAAAAATGAGCATGAACCTGAATTTGTGTCTGTATGAAGAAATGTAACCCGGGATTACGCTACTTTCAAAAAAGATGTTTTATTTGTATTTTTTTTCTCTTTGTAAAAACTCAAATAAAATTTACAAAAAAAAAAAAGAAAGAAAGCAGACCCATTCTTTATTCTGTAATGTATGTGTCTGGAGCAGTGTGTTTCTCATCCTTGGCAACAAAAATGTATGGACTTCAGTTCTCCAGGCAACCTTAACATCTTAAAGTTAAACTTTTAATCTTAAAGTCGGTAAATTTAAACTTTAAGTTGAGAAACGTTGGTCTAAAACAATACCTCCAATTGAAGGGTCCTCTCTCCACATGTCCAGACTTCACATTCTAGAGCTGTCAGCTCTGATTTACTTCTGAGAGTAACGTTTATGCAGCAGGAGGTTGCTCAAGTTGAGGGGAGCTTTGTCATGCTTTTCTATACACAAGATTATATTCTTAAATTATTCAGATCCTTCCGCACAACAGCTTTGTCATATGTCTTTGGTTTTCAGAAAATGATCAAATACTCAGCATGGAAGTGTCTTCTTGGGATTTCCCCTATTTTATTCATAATGTCAGTTGCATAGAAACAAAGTTCATTTTCATCCATGCAAAGCTAATTATACAGTATTAAGGCAATTAATCAGTCATTTTCTCTGCCAGTGCACTCTCTTATCTACTTTGGTCATAAAAGGACTGCAGCATTGATTTATTGCTACTCAAACCAATATTTCTAAATTATATTCTTCTAATCTGTTATACCTATGTCTACATGTTTATATACTAGCTTTGCATCTCCCTTCTGTCTTAGTTAAGCAAGATATTAATAACACTTGGCTGACAATCAGGTTTCAATTTGTCATTTATTTTTGTCCTGATCGTGATTCCCCTGCTTCCTCAGATCACTTTCAGTTCATTTATATCAATGGGTCTTCAGGTCACTTTGGAGCACTTTATCTCCCCTGTCCCAGAACAACCAGGAACACCCAGGCCTTCTGCAGCCAAAGCATTATGGTTTATCAGCCATGCCAATTCCAAGCTTAGCCAACATATCATCCTCTTTCCGCAGCCTGTCAAAAAGTTTATTTGGATCTGTCATTCCTACAGCCTGACCTTTTTTGGAAGTTCAAAACACATGATAGCAGCAGTTCTCATCTGCTTCCTTCGTTGTACTTGTACATTGACAATAAAGTTCTTCTAGTTCTAGTTCTATGAACGGGTGCAGATTTCCAGTAAAAAAGACAGCTCGTATTCATTTATGGAGATGAAAAATAAATTATTTATCAATACCACTATCTGGCACAGTGCAAGCAAGAGGGATTCCTAGGAGCAGCACAATGGCCTAGAGGTGAAACTCTCAGGAGGCTGAGAGTTTGATCTTAGGTAGTGGCGGATATTTCTCTCTTTGGGTGCAGTGAGTAATTGCTGTGAATTCTGCATAGATATCAGGAAGGACATCCAGCCACTAAACGCTTGAGTTCTGTTCAGTCACCCCGAATCCACCTGGATGCAAGAGGGATTCTTGAGATGGTAATCTTCCCAGGTTTTCTCTTTCTAGAACAAGAAGTAGTAGCAGGAAGTACGGTAAACCTCACTACAGATAGTCCTCAACTTATGACCACAATTGAGCCCAAAATTTATGTTGCTAAGCAAGACACTTGTTAAGTGAACTTTGCCCCAATTTACGACCTTTCTTGCTACAGTCAAGTGAATCATTGTAGTTATTGAGCTAGTAACAAGGTTAAATGAATCTGGCTTCCCCATTGACTTTGCTTATCAGAAGGTTGCAAAAGACAATTGCATGACTCCAGGATAAAGCAACCTTCATAAATATGAGTTGGTTGGCAAGTGCCTGAATCTTAATCACATCACTATAGGGATGCTGCAATGGTCATAAGTGTGAAAAACAATCATAAGTCACTTTTTATGGTGCTATTGTAACTTTGAATGGTCACTAAATGAACTGTTGTAAGTTGATGATTACCTGTATTCCTTTTGCTGCCTGTTTTAATGTTGACTTTTCTAATCTTCATAGCTGAATATTAATGAGAAAACCAACTCATTCTTTGATGCGTAATAAAGGTTGATTTGTAATCAAGTAATCAGTAATTTAAAGCACTGATACATTTTATACCAGCCTTCTTCAACTTTGTGCACTCCAAATGAAAATTATTGGAGCCGAAAAGAAACATACCTTAAGGGCAACTGTTTGGCAAATAATGGTCATATATTGGGGGTCTCTTATCTTACACTCATAACTATATGTTTGTGATTAGCATGGGAACATGATAACACTTCTAAACCCATTCTCACACTGGCTGTTGACCACTCATTGAAAAAGTGGGGAAAAAACTGCAGTTGTGTTATGTTGACCTTCCTAGTTGTGAATATAGTGAAGGAAAAAGGTGAAACAATGGCCTCCTTTTGTTTTCTTAAATAGGGACCCTTAAATCCAGTCTTAAATCAAGAATGGTTTTCTTCCACTGCCTGGGCAGCATAAAAAGCAAAGCTCTGCTGATAGTTATCTGATTGATTGAGATCATGCAACATTGTGAGAAGAATGAAATGCCATCTCAGCTCTGAAATTGGCATAGGGAACAAAAGAGATGGGAAGACTCCACCCCCCACCCCCCCCAAAAAAGGGGGACTAGTAGGCATTGGATGATGGGGGCCTCTAAGCTAATGGAGTAGGAGGGTAACTAATGTCTATGTACATTTAGCTAAATGTGGATTCTAAAAGGTTAACAAAAACCTTTTTTTGTAATGCTTTCTAAAATTGTAAGCATCTAACTACTTTTATACTTTGTTTATAGGCTCACAAATCAGTGAACTTCGTTTCAACTCTCCTTCAAATCACTATGTCAGAACAACTGGATTTACCAGTGAGACAGGCAGGCAAGTGGCAATTCATCACTTTCTATAGTATAAATATTTAGCACTATTAATAAGTGACTATGAGTAGCACAATGAAATAATGGAAAGTGGATTTTAATGTGGGGTAATACTATATAAAGAGGAACAGGATGGTCTCTGAAATCTGGGTTGGGAAAATAATCCTTGTGCTTAAAATAGTTTGCTAGAGTGGATATGATTATTTTTATACAAAAGCATCCCTCAGAATTTATAATTACATGACTGTATGTATGTATGTATTCTCTTAAGTTTTTGTGGGTACTTACATGTATGGTATTCAGCTTTGTTCGGGTATTTTCCCACGTCATTATAGTTGTGCTTTTAAAGTTGTAGCAATGTTTCAGCAGAATCTCATCTGCCATCATCAGGCTTCTGTATTGTGTTCGTCTGTGAGTCAGAAACAACTGTGAAAATCTGACCCACAGACGAACACCATACAGAAGCCTGATGATGGCAGATGAGATTCTGCCGAAACGTTGCTACAACTTTAAAAGCACAACTATAATGACGTGGGAAAATATCCGAACAAAGCTGAATACTATACATATAAATACCTGTCAAAACTTAAGAAAACATATATATATCAAAAAAATAAAGGGAACACAAAAATAAGACATCGTAGATCTGAATGAATGAAATATTGTTATTAAATACTTTGTTCATAACATAGTTGAATGTGCTGACAACAAAATCACACAAAAATTATCAATGGAAATCAAATTTAGCAACCCATGGAGGTCTGGATTTGGAGTTACACTCAAAATTAAAGTGGAAAAAAACACTATAGGCCGATCCAACTTTGATGTAATGTCCTTAAAACAAGTCAAAATGAGGCTCTGTAGTGTTTGTGTGGCCTCCACGTGCCTATATGACCTCTCTACAACACCTGGGCATGCTCCTGATTAGGTGGCGGATAGGGATCACCTCTCACACCTGGACTAAAGCATCCCCCAACTCCTGGACAGTCTGTGGTGCAATGTGGTGTTGGTGGATGGAGGGAGACATGATGTCCCAGATGTGCTCAATTGGTCTAGGAAATGGGCGGGCCAGTCCATAGCATCAATGCCTTCGTCTTGCAGGAACTGCTAACGCACTCCAGCCACATGAGCTCTAGCATTGTCTCACATTAGGAGGAACCCAGGGCCAACCGCACCAGCATATGGTCTCACAAGGGGTCTGAGGATCTCATCTCGGTACCTAATGGCAGTCAGGTTACCTCTGGCGAGCACATGGAGGGCTGTGCATCCCCCTAAAGAAATGCCACCCCACACCATTACTGACCCACTGCCAAACTGGTCATGCTGGAGGATGTTGCAGGCAGCAGAACGTTCTCCATGGCGTCTCCAGACCCTGTCAGGTCTGTCACATGTGCTCAGTGTGAACCTGCTTTCATCTGTGAAGAGCACAGAGTGCCAGTGGTGAATTTGCCAATCTTGGTGTTCTTTGGCAAATGCCAAACACTCTGCACAGTGTTGGGCTGTAAGCTCAACCCCCCACCTGTGGATGTCGGGCCCTCATACCACCCTCATGGAGTCTGTTTCTGACAGTTTGAGCAGCCACATGCACATTTGTGGCCTGCTGGAGGTCATTTTGCAGGGCTCTGGCAGTGCTCCTCCTGTCCCTCCTTGCACAAAGGCAGAGGTAGCAGTCCTGATGCTGGGTTGTTGCCCTCCTATGGCCTTCTCCATGTCTCCTGATGTACTGGCCTGTCTCCTGGTAGCCCCTCCATGCTCTGGACACTATGCTGACAGACACAGCAAACCTTCTTGCCACAGCTCGCATTGATGTGCTATCCTGGATGAGCTGCACTACCTGAGCCACTTGTGTGGGTTGTAGACTCCGTCTCATGCTACCACTAGAGTGAAAGCACCGCCAGCATTCAAAAGTGACCAAACCATCAGCCAAAAAGCATAGGAACTGAGAAGTGATCTGTGGTCACCACCTGCAGAACCACTCCTTTATTGGGGATGTCTTGCTAACTACCTATGCTTCCCACCTGTTGTCTATTCCATTTGCACAACAGCATGTGAAATTGATCGTCAATCAGTCTTGCTACCTAAGTGAACAGTTTGATTTCACAGAAGTGTGATTGACTTGGAGTTACATTGTGTTGTTTAAGTGTTCCCTTTATTTTTTTGAGCAGTGTGTGTATGTATGTATGTATGTATGTATGTGTGTATGTGTGTGTTTGTATA